ACTCTTCCGAAAGAAAAAAATATAACACTTCCAGTGGAGAAACGATGGAACCACTCGCTCCAACGGAAACTGAAATAGGCGGGAGCTGAAAGATTTGTTGTACATTAACATTTTTATCACTGCTTACATTTGCTTTGGTCCAACCTTGTTTGCATCTGGATACTCTTGAATTTAACGCCGTTGTAGTTTATGCAGCAAAGAAGTTTCATCCAAATACGCCAACAAGTGACACGTGAAAATCTGTCTAACCATTCTTAATGGAGCTGGAATTCGATTACTCTTTTGGTGATCGCTGCGCACGCGTGCAGTCGCTCCGCACACACACACAGTAATTTTCCAATGCCCACTGTAATAGAAGTGAGGGTGTTTCAGTAATGTGTACAGCTTTTTCTCAACTATTTTATAATAAAAGTTGACATTCCAAGATTATCGTAAATTAGGTGACGAGAAGTATGCCATAACTCATCTGCAAACAGCCAATCAGAATCTTCGAACAGAACTGTATAATTCACATTTGACTCACAATTAGTTATGAGTAGTGGTGTGCGATAATCGATATTGATTGGAACTGACCATCCTTCAGACCTCACCCTCACGCACAATCCCCAATTCTTATACTTTACACAGCTTTCGCGAAGCACTAGACTCGAGTTTCGCTCTCCTGAGAGCTCATCAGTATTGCGTATCCACCGTTTTAAACTCTGGATCCGTCGCATGGAAGGCGTGCGTATTACCACTGGGTAAACCAGCTTTATGCCAGGGCTGAACTGAATTGCCCAATCATGTATGTTCCGATATCATCTTCAGTGATAGTCTGTCAGTTCATTGCTGGCCCGACAGCAATGGGAAGGGAACACTAATCAGCTGTGTGCTTGCAGGTTATGTGAGCTGCAAAAATTTGTCTCCAAAACCTCCAGTTTAACCCGTGGTTGAGGTGAAGGATTCGCACCGCCCCCCCCATCCACCGGTTTTGCTTTTAACTTCACACGTCCGTCGTTCCGTAATGAACTGATTAGGAAAAAAGTTCTTCACTACTCCCTTCTAGAAGTACTGTTTACGTGGGTTCACAATCCGACAGATAGATGTACTGTGGGACTGTTGGAGGTAGAATGTGGTGATTCGAATCCCCGAAATCCTCCAAAACACAAAACGTGGGCAACCATGTTTTTTTGGTCAGCGCATTATCCCAAGTAGTACTAAGTTCGATCATTTTGAGTTGATCTACGGAGTCTCCAACTTTCCTCTGCTGAAAACTGATAACCGAAAGTGATATCCCAGGGGTGATATCACATAATTGTCGAGTTATATACGTATTATACCGTTGCATTTAATAATCGCCCCACCATCCCTTCACCCTTGTCACTGGAATAACCCATCACGTCATTATTACGCTCCAAATAATTATGATTGTGATGGTTTTGTAATGAATTAAGATAATTTTGCCTAACTTTGCCTTCTGGCGAATTATTATTTACAGTTTCCCTATTTACTTACAAAATCAGGCTCTTACTTCTGCAGGGTTTCTCCTTAATCGATTTTCTGCTAGGTCTTTGTGTTCCTGTTTTCCACGGCACATTATCAGGCAGAACTATCCACGTCGCACAAACCCCATGTCTTTTTTCACAATTCCATTCTGAGTCAATCTCGATACTTGTAAAAGTCAGTCACTCGTTGTTTGACAATGGGAACATATATCCATGCTTCTTGCAACCAATGAGTTGTAATCACATTTTTTATGGTGAACTGCTATTTTACCTACAAGCGTTCAATAGGATGTGAAACTTTGGGATTAGATCATACGGTCCCGAACGGGAAAAAATGCACTCGGTGTTCGTTTTTAGGCACTCTGTTTTCAAATCTTACATTGAGTTCAACAAATTAAATTTATCCAATGGGTTTGTCTGTACTCGACCAGCAAAGAATCGAAAGGCTGTTTGTTTCTGATGCAGCCCTCACCAAACACAAAGTAAACATGCTCAAGAAAGTGAGTCAGGTGACCGTAGACAATCGTTCAAACTGTCGGAAAGCAAAGGTCATCACTATCAAATCACGTGATAGCCGGTCATGTTCACACCTAAAAATGCTCTGTTTCGAGACAATCAATCTATCCAGATGCTTCACTCCAATCCTGAATAGCTTGTTTACACTATACTACCATCTTTCTTCATTTTCATCTGCCATTTTAAAAATACATACTCATTTTATGCATCACTAAATACATATGTGTATGTATTTGTTGAACTTTCGTATTAGTGTTTTTCTACTGGCGGATTTTTCTTCTCAATCCCAGTACCGTAGACATAATTCAGTCACAGCTTTGACTTTGAATCTAGCCGTGACCATGTTTTCTTTATTTGCACAAATTCAATACACGCACGCACTTGTTGGTGGACACACGTGCGCCTGCACACTCACTCACACACACACACACACACACACAGATTCTCTACGTCCTGGCTCCGATGACTGCGGTGCTACTGCTCGTCACAGTGATTGTGGTCGGTGCAAATTATGCGAACGCAGCAAATCAACTGCGACTATACGCGAACCGATTCTACGCCACATTTGCCACAATTGTACCGGTCGATCGATACGCACGGGACCAGTTTGAAGTGCGGCCTCTGATCTGGGTAAGTGACTGACGAAAATGAAACGAATCGAATGATATTATGATTGAACTACTACTATCATTATTAATAACTCAATCAAACCGATTATTGTTATTATTAAAGCTACTTCTATTGTTGTGAAGTCTTACATTTGTGAATAGGTTGCTCATATAAAGAAGCAATTGTTCGATTCCCACGACATCCCTATGAATGGATTGAAGGGTTAACTGTAGCTAATACCAAAGATAAAAACAGATTATCAAGCTGGCGATCTCCGATGAAGAGGAGATCACGAAAATACTACCCAATAGTTGCTAATTAGATGTTTCGTTCTAGGTAACCTTATTTACCTCTTATTGCAATGAACATGCCCTCTCTTCCCCTACCAAACCTCTGTACGAGGTGACAGCGTGTCCTCGTACAGTTGATTCAAGTCGAGAAACGCCCACCCAGGGGTGAATTTTCCGCAATTTACAAACTTTTGCAGTGGATATGTAAAATAGATTACAATCACAAAGAACTGTAAGAAATGAGAGAGAAAAAGGATTATACAAGTCTTTCCCTGAGATGGGTGACAAGTGTCTTACGATTAACCAATTGCCTAGCAAGGTACGGAATTCTCCCGGTTCTATTCGTGGAAGTACGCGCATCATAGAATTGATATTCGGAGCTAGTTCGTGGATTCAACTCGGTTTTCAAGATGTCTCGGTGCAGACGGTGCCCTTTATCACGTGTTATCCGGTCAATAAAGGTATCAGAATTGTCCAACTGATTAGAAATAAAAGATGAGTGTAACGTGGATAAACCAAAAAAGACAATATCTTACTACCACATGTCAATGGTGTGGACTATTGTCGTATGCTGAGTAAATATGTGACCAATCACCTCGGTACTGGATAGCCTTTTTCAACAGGACAGAAATGCCGCTCTTCACATCTGCAGAATGACTTGATCGTGAATTTGTAACAAATGCTCAGGCATAAATGTTGTCATGGTCATCAGTAGTCTCACTCGATCTGAACGCTGTTGAGCACAGGTGAGATTAATTGGAATGCACTATTAGAAATCTTGAGGTGTTTCGAATTTGGACAGATTGGGAAGTGTTTTGTGAATTGGAAGCCTCTTCATGTTCACCAATCGATGATGTAATTGCATCATTAAAAGCTAAATTCATCATTACGTAATGAATAATAAATCTACTGCCTACTTTGTTTATAATAACTAAATATTCACTTGACGTGTTTCCTTTTTTCGAGCCGACCGAAATGGGATGATGTGAAGATCCCACAGACTAGGACGTTTCATTGCGGGGAGCGATGGGGACACTTAACTCTATGCGTATGCATGTGTTCCCTATTTCGGGGTGCTTCTGGCCTTGACTAAACACAAACGATTATCCTCTCCTCAATCTGGTCTAGGTTTACTTGTCACATTCAACATCGTGAGCTCACACTGAAACTGTGCAACAATGATGGCACTAACAGTTGAGCGAAACAGGGCTCGTTCATAGCAATTTCGATCCAAAATGAATAGGTTAGTAAGTCATGATATAAATGCACCCATTGTAATCGGAACACAGATCGTGGGCCAACATACGCTTTTCGTGATTTCATCCCGCCCCCTCCCCTCAAACACATGTAAATCAATATGGTTGTATTGATTTGAGATTTGAAATAAACGGAAACGCATATTCACCTATGGTGTACAGATTCGAATTTTCATGGGCCGAATTCGAATAAAGCATGTGGTTATTTCGGTGTGAGATACTGTTTGAATCCCATCGTATCCATAATCTACTACGGGTCTACTTTGGACTTAGTCCTTTGAGCGCCAGTTCGCTAGTACAATCACCTTGGTTCATCGGTCTCATGGACCCTGTATAGGTCTGACTTCAACCAGGATCGGACAGACGTAGTCGTTGTTTTTTCTTCTTGCTACCGCTCAGGCTCTGCTTCATACGCCATTGTTTGCATATTCCGGAGTGCAATGGACTCGTATCGATCGGTTCATCAATATCAATGTGCTAGAGCAGCGGTTGCTGTGTGCGCAAACTAATGACCAGGGCACGGCGAGGCGGGGAGAGGGTTACTTCACTAGCTGGCAGTTGCGAGTGTCATAAACATGTGCAGCACAATGCAAAAAACGAGCTCGACACATTGCACGTTGCGTAATACATTGTTACACTTGCAGCAGATATTCTAGTTTGTCTAATAAACAAATGGTGTGAACCAGTTTGTGTGACTCATGAAAACGCATACTTCAAAATCGGGAATTTTTCGTCATTACTGAAACGGACAGATTAGTCTGGCTGAACATGAACTTCTACTTCGTTTTTACGCCACCATTATGTGAATTAGAGCGATCTGATATACTACCGGTCGCCCTCAAATCTTAGCATTTTAACATCCTATAAAATGTTGGCCTTTTTTAGTTTTCTGTCAGTTGGGACATTCTATGGAGCGTTGAAGGTGGCGACATGAACATGTGCCAGTTTTGTATACGTGAGAACGGCCAGTATTCACGGTTACGAATTCCAAAGAACCAAACAGACAGACAGACAAATGCGACTCTTTTTCAACCGATTTTACACCGCACATCACGCAGCATCAATCGGATATGTATTCAAAGTGCTTTGTACTTTGGATTACATCGAACTGATTAAGAATCACTTGCCCTATTGTCTTACCAAACACAGATACACAAACACGGGGCATTCAAATCCAGGCAACATGAGATCCGAACTGTACTCTGTACTCTTTAGATCCTATTGCTTACGGATTTAGTCTACCCTCGATCAATGTTCACCGGGAAACACCAGTGAAAGAAAGCAAGGGTAAACCAGATTGTTTAAACACGATGAGTTGTCAACTGGCCAGTATATCATATTTTAATTGACATCATTTTCGGTATAGGAACAGAAACTATCAAATTTAGCACCACATGGAAGCTGTTTCGACCCCGTATTCAACCGATGGGGCTGAATTCGCGGCAAGAATTCTGTCTAAACAATGTTGCTTTTATGGCATGCGCGAGGGAGATGGACGTTAAGACGGAGATGGAGTGAGCCTATCAATTAATTGGGGGTACATAAGCGAGAGGGGTGGTATATGGACGGATTCTCACGGTTTCAGCCGTGATCTGGGTGCAGCTCTCGATCGACTTTGATCGGTTAACCAGCAAGACAGTGGTAAAAATTTATTTTCAGTTGTTTTCAGCCAGACTTTCAAAGCACTCCTTTCGGCTAGGGTATCTCAGATATGAATGAACTTTCACAGCGACAAAAAACCAAGGAGCATTGCGGTTGACGAAGCGGAAAATTTCATTAAATTGAGAAAAACCTGAGCACTTTGTGATTTCAAGTGGTGTATATAGTTAAGGGAAAGCTGTTAAGTAAAACAGTTTGGGGAACTTGGTCTTTTATACTTGTTGCTGCGGTACTCATACAGAGTTAATCAATCAACCAGTCAGTCACAAATGAGAGGCCTTGTGAACACTACTTGTTGGGAATAATCAGTAGGTTGTTACGAACCCGATCACGGGAACCTGTGAAACGAAAGCTATAACCATTTGGGCCATCCCCGCTCATTAGTTACTAATATCAGATGTGCCGGACCTCATCAGATAGTCAGTCATCTAACACTAGAAAGATATACAGCACGACTGAGCAGAAATTCGGCATCCGATGTGAGAACCAGTTTCAGAGATTTGGTCAATTTATCTCGAAATGTTCAGTATAGAGCATATTTTTCACGAGCATTATTATTCTGCACTTATGTTACTCAAACAGCTCTGAACTAGTCAAGAGAGAGAGAGAGAAATAATGATTTGTCTTCAGGTAAATGGTATGAAATGTTTTGGTATTTTTATACCGTTTCGAAGGGAACGTTGGAGTTTCGTCAACCGTGGAAAATGATGCTGCTAATCGTTGACGTTGTACTTCGAGCAATGATTAACTTGTACATCAAAAATCTGTGCACGGTGTCAAAAAGACTGCCTGTGTAATCAGTACAGTCTCCTGAACACTCCTGATTCTCGTGGAGCCGGGTATCAGCAAAGATTGAGGAATACACTTCTCCGTGAAGCTATTTTACCTCTCGCTTTTAAGTACTTCCCCTATCGATCAGTTATCAACGTGGGGTTGAATGATTTATTTTTGTAATTTCACATCATTTGTTTCACTGCGAACCAGTATACCAAAACTGAGCAAAGTAACTCAAACAGAAGGCATCCGTTAATTCGTGAGATCCGTGTGCCAAGCACATTAGGGAACACAGGGGAATAATAAGCACCGAATGAGACAGATATTCAGTGCATACATAATCTGTCATCTGATCTAAACACCGAACCGCACATATTTGTACGAACAGCTATCGTCACTTTTTCACTGTACAAAATAGTTAAGAAATATACTTTTTATTTATATGGTTTTCAAATTCAACTCAAAGTTACTTGTGCTGTTGGGATAGGTGATATTGATTTGGAGCGATCATCCCTCAAACTTGATCTTTACGGCAATCTCTCAGTTCATCCAGTCAACCATACGCACAGGAAGTTACAGTCTCATCTTGTTAGAGCTCATCAGTAGTGCATAACCAACGTCCGGTCCAGGATTTGAACTCAAAACCCCCATATGAAAGGTGTGTATGTGTTATCAATATAACAACCGACCAAAATTTTCAGTTCAAGTTTGTTCCCACGTCGCCTTCAGATACAGATAGTTACTAAATTGGGCTCGACTGCAACCAAAGGAGACACTACTAACTGTCTGCTATGCGTCTTTATTGACTGAACGTATTTCGGTCTTCCTTGGTCTGTAGTTTTTATCCAATTCAACGAAGACCAGCGCATAAAGCCATAAGAAAAATGTGTTTTATTCCCTCACACACATACAGACAGACAGAAAGACACACACACACGAACACATCTGTTGATTTGACATCCTCTCAGTCCTACTGTCTTTCTCTCACACCTGTCCTGAATGAATTACGTGTTGGGTGTTTGTCTCACGCCAAACTTACCAGAATGAAGAGTTTGTTTAGCCTCGTCGGAAGCGTGGACTGAGTGGAAGCAAACACAGTGTGGCCAACAGCTAACAGAGGTGGGACCGTAACAATTCGTCGTGTACGTTCCGTCGGTTATACACATCTGCAAGGATTGCGCACATTCTCGCGGAGATGGAAATCGGTACAGAGCCGATTAAAACATTCACGTTGGGGGTACATCACGTGACCTGATTCTGTATGACCCATTCGATTGCTCACTGTCCATATGGAAATTCCAGGGGTGTACGGCTGGGGAGGGGGAGGGGGTGAGAGTGCGAGACCAGCGAATCGACTGAGTGTCAACTCATGCCTCCTCTGAAATTATTGGACGGTTGATGGCATCTTCTTTCGAGAGGGTTAAACATTTACTGTGCCGTGTGAATCCATATAGTCTAACAAACGCAATCAATACAATGTCCGGGAATCACAGAAATGTCGGTTTCTATTCGAGCGTTTCGGGAATCACATGACATAACACAGCAGTACATAGCCAATGTGGAATCGATTCCCTCTACAATCGATTTATTTATTGATTCAACTGATCGTTTTGGAATAGATGCTGAATTTCTATCAATTGGGGTACATCTTTCTAATTAAATTAACTGACTGCCCTTATTACTAGTAATGTTATACAATCAGCATGCAACAATCTATCGATGGATAACGGGGTTATTACTGCCCGTGTTTGAGAGAAAACGGCCAACAGTAACGGAAAGGCCAGAAACAGGTGTTTCCGACCTGTTAAACAAGCAAATATTTGATCAGTTCAATTCATACAGGTCTATTTCACAATCCCAACTTGTTCTCATGTATGCATTGTACCAACTGTCAGAAGATCATTACCTAGACAGTTTCCATTTTACATGTTGAATTTAGTTGTGTATAGAGTAAATGAAACGTGAACTGAATTATTCAGATCGGAATCTTTCCAACCGAATCATAACCCTGGAATCTAGTGCTGTGATGTGATGCTTGCAATAAGCTCGCAAAGATGGATTGTGCTCCATCGCGTAATTGGAAAAGGACAGGGGTTAGATCAGCTACCCGGTGGCTAGGTGAATAGTACGCTTGCCAGTCAGGTCCCGGATTTAATCCCCAGTTGAGTCGATGAATTCACTCTGTAGATGAAACCCAACCAGGTCGAAACACCTGCCCAATGCTATGCAAACGACGAAATTCAACCTGCGATCAAATGAGATCTTCAACTACTCCCGTGCACGTATGCTTTTAATGGTGACACAAATTAAACGAACTTCTCTCATGCATCTCAGGCTTAAGTATTTAGGCTCCCAACCCCAAGGGTCGTTGTCAGAATCCCCGTCAGGAGACAAAAAACGTACACGTGGCTTTTAAGTCCTGACCAGAACTCGAAGACTGTTCCCACAAATATTTTGACCATGTAAGTGATTTCAATTTGTGCTTTCTTGTTGCGATAAAATCAACCCAAGTTGTTCCTCTGTGTGTGTGTGTGTGTGTGTGCGTGTGTACGTACATGCCATAATATGTGAGTTCGCATTCCTTTTTAAGGGCTGGCTATCCTCATTTGTTCATCTGTCACAAGCGCTCAATCTTTGGACCGGCGTGTTTCCATTGTTGGGTAAATGGAGTGGACCTCATGGAAGACGTACTCATATGTAAGTGTACGCCAATATTTCAACCTCAGTGACTTCTTTTCTGCTTACAAACTTATGTGACTCGTGAATGGAGGGAATTGAGACCCTGAGGATCAAACTGTCAATTGCAAAGCATAAAATTCGTCCTAACTGAGGCAAATCGATTTATTGATTCATAAACATTGGTATCGGTTACAACCACTTATGTTTCTCATCCTTTCAGAAACATGCACCTAACTGCCATAACAGAAGACATAGAAAACGGAAAAACTGATGTTGGTCATCAATTTCTCGTGCTCGAATTCAGCTCAAAAAGTACACTTGTGCAATCAAGACAAAAATATATGAGTTGGAAGTTAAAACCAGTTGTCCCGTGACCCTAGCCGTGTACCCTTATTGATGTTTACACTCTCCCGAATTGATGTCAGTCGATTGAGAATCACATTTGTAACCGCATACTTCTCTTATCTAGGCGAACGATACGCATCGCGGATATCCTGTCCAGAGTGGAGCATCATTTGTTCTGTATAAACACATTTGCTTTTCAAAGAAAGCCTCCGTGTTCGAATGTTGTGGACGAAATGTCATGACAAAGCTGTTTCGTGTTTACCCTTGTCTCAATGAACTTGCTCAATAAGAGTAGATATGGGTCGGAATGTTTGAATTCAAAATGATTACCTTTGATATCGATCCCCCGGGGGTCAGAACAGCATTTATTTGCTCACATCGTATTCTTTCACCCCTTCCCACATAGGTCCTGTTAGGCTGCCTGGCTGGGGACCTCGGGATGATCGTAACCGATGATTAGAGACACTGAGCGATATGGCTGGGTGTCGTAAACAGTGGCGTTCGTGCATCTTCTCAATTTCTTTGCAACCTTAGACCACTGAACTTCTTCATTTACTTTTTTGGCCCCACTTTCAACTTTCCTTTCTTTTCCAATTCTTCATCCAAATGGGCAGCCAAAAGACAGAAAACAAAACCGGCCCACGAATATGCGTGGTTAACGGTTGTACAAACTGAAACTGAAACTGAAACTGATTATTAACATTTCAAATACCTGATGCACTTTGTTCTCCAACTTGTTCACAGTAGAAATCGTAATTATCAGGATATTTTCTGCCCGCTCTCATCATTTCTAAAATGAGGACTTTGGGTGAAGCAGTGGTAAAGATCTACACAAACACCTGAATGAACTTGGAAGCATTTCACATATTGTATTGAAGAAGATGAATCATAAATTGGAGACCTCATCTCAGCAGTCAGTTCTTGCAACTGAGCCACGTTATCTCACATAACTGTTCGATGTCTTCCACGCTCTTTCGTATCATATATTTTACATGATTGAGTTAAGCGTTTTCGCGCACGTTCGTCCTTTTCGACACGTTATTTCGTATTTCCAAAACATGGCCAAATGGAGCACGTGAGTACAACAAGATGAAGTGGAGGGGGACGCGGTTTTAACGGTTTGAACATATATGGATGACTCAGCCGCAGAGAGAGAGAACTGTTTTCCCCTGATTGCAAATCTTTTGCACATGTGTGTTTGATTACACTCCTGGACTACCGATGTGTCATCAAACATGAATCGAAGACAAACTCAGCCAGAATACTGACCCCTCCATCTATTTACCGTTTCCGACACATTTCCACCGTGTTTCATCTGCAAATGTGTTTTGAGTCACTCTTGTGTACACAAACCATTCAGGAATCAATATGCGCTTGGATTTTTCCAATCGATCATATCGATCAATCTCTACAGTCCACGAAGTGTGAACTTTGAACGCGTGCGTGCGAGTGGTTGGTGTGTGCTCATGTCGATAGTTTGAATTGTTGCATTTCATTCGACGATGATGAACTTCTTGAAAATGAAAAAATTTCGGCACACATGAAAGTGTAGCTTGTAGACAGAGGACGAGGAAATCAAGTTGAAATTTGCTTTCATACCATAGCGTAATCGAGATTCAAAATGACCGGAAGTGCAGATCCGGTCAACGGATAGAACCATTGCATCGGTTCCGGATCATTGGTCTATAGTCTTTACTACGAAATTGAGTGATTGAAAGAGAGGACTAGAGAGAGAGAGTTGTTTCACCTTTTTCGTTTGATCACCTTTCACTCTCCATACAAAACCACCCGAACGAATCAAATAAACTTAGTCAGATCAACAGAGCGGGTTTAGTCTACCAAATGACAAAGCCAAATTTCTATATTTTTTCTGTAGTTTATTCACTTTTTACGCATTGCACAACAAAATGTATAATTCCACCGTTAGAAGGATCTATTTGAGTCAGTTTCGAAAGCCATGAGTAACATTAACTCTGAAAAAAAATACAACATACAGCCCGAATGTGGAGCAAGCCAAAATCATGATGAATTTTGTGAGTCTCGAATCGTCTGAGAAATCTGGGTTTGTGATGATTGGGGCAATCAAACACACGATATCCGAATCATCTTCATCACTTTCTCACCTCACAGGAAAACCGGAGTTCTCTCTTTTCTTGAACAATTCATAAACCACACATCTGTTCGCTGGAAGCTCTCATGCATCTACCACATTAGTGTTAAATACTATTCAATTTTAAGAAGAAGTAATTACACATCGAAATCCATTTGCAAGAAGATGCCAGGCTGTTCAAATTTATTTCTCAATGCATTCTCTTCGGGTTATAGATGTATTGTGTGGCAATCACGAATAGCGTAACATAAAAATTAATAAAAACATACAACTCGGGAAAACACATGTCTTTGAGTAATTCGTTCACAAGCCTGCAAACTTAAATATTACAAACAGATGAAACAGCGCTGGTGATGATATTACAACCTGACTGACTGCTCCCCTCCCAACCTATCCATAATCCCACCCCCACCCACCGTTCGTGACTGTTTTCTCCTACTGGCTAGATGACGATATGTCACCGGTCGAATGTGCAACACTGAATCGTCAAAGTGTACCAAATATTCTATTCTATTAACAACTTCACATTAGTGGAAAACATACTCACTTGAAATTCACGTTCTATAGTTACAGGTATTGGCTTCTTTCGCGATTGAACATGTGTGCTTACTCATTCCCCCTCCCATCCCTTTAAAGCAGTCTTCTCTTTGTTTAGCATGTCTCGATCTTTCCCCTATGCCCTCCTCTATTTCCACCCCATCCGATCAGCGGGTGGATTCCCGTGCTGGTCTGTTGGCAATTCCTGATCCCATTGCCCGTCCTATTGCTCATGTTCTCGTTGGCCTCGGCATTTCACCCGGAATACGCGCGATGCTATCTGAGCACAGATTGGCAAGCCCCATTCATCCTTGTGACGCACGTGTTCTCCAAATTTTCCAGTGATCGCCTGCTGGCCGGTTGTTTTTTCATTGCCCTCATGTTGTGTCTGTTCCTGTCCCAAGTAAGCTTATCGACCAGTTTTTTGGGGTTCTGCTAATCCAGATGATTGATTTTGTATGAGGAAATTTTCGTTTGGGCATTTATGACTGATTTCAACTTCATGTATTTGAGCACTATATCATAGGGTGTTCATCCGTAACAAAAGGTCCCGAGAGCTGAAATGTCTGGTGCACTAGATTGACTAACTCTATACCTTTTCAACTTCAAATGAATCAGTTGTAAATTCAAGTGAATCCAACCAATCGCATTCGGCCGTCAAACGCCACCGATTGGACCGGGTCTGTCTAAACCCCGTCCAGTCCGAATAAACTACTTTCACCGTAAACATACAAAAGTACATTTTGAGTGAGTTACCAAGCCCTAATAAAAGATTCGGTGGGCCGTTCTCCCCCACACCCCTCCGACACACTCTCGTTCCACCCGGGAACGTTATGTTCGTGATCGTAGATACGAATGAACAAACCCGGAGTTAATTGACCTCTGTCGGTCGGAGAAGGAACTGAATCACGTCAAGATGGATCGATAAGTCGGACACCATACCCAGACGTGAAAATCAGCATGATTTATTGCATAAGTAGAGTCAGTCTAAGCCCTCAATAACCCAATGAGTAAATTCTGTTGAGGCCGAGTTTCTCTCGAATAAAACCGATTCCTTTGAATCAAATGCGACTGCTTACGTATTTCTGACATTGCAATACACACTTGACAAAATACCTAACAATGGCGAAAGAAGTAACAGTATTTCACCCGAATAATAGGAATATATTCACTAGCTGAGAAAATTAGCTTGTCTTAGCCACAACGAATGAAAACCAAAACACAAAGGCGGTGGTGACACCGTCTCGACCCTCTTGGAAGGCCTTTTTCAAGTCGTTTAATCAATTAATCTCACGTTACAAGCAATGCCACTAGCTAGTCACTAATGTCACTAGCTAACAGAAATCATATTTTTTTGTCATTCCCTGGCTGAATAATGCGTTAAATCCACAATGCCAATTGCAGGAATCTGTTATCTGCGGCTTCTCCCTTCGCTACTCGGCTTCATCGCATAGGTTCTTATCTCTATTATATCATTGCTCAACCCGTCGCATCATTTCACATACTGATTACATCTGTGCGATCATTTATAGTTTAGTGAATGAGACAGGCGATGATTAATATGAATGAGTTACAGTTATCCATGATCCCACAGGCGATGATAACCCTGTACTGGGTGTTCCATGGGGCAATAAGTAGAGGTCGGTAAAATATTCCACCCACGGTTGTCTTAATACTGAATGTCAAAGAAGAGAAAAGGTTCAGTGGTACCGCGGATGCCACCCTGCAGTATATTTCCCGTATGTGTTGCCAAGAAAGATTGTGTAAACGAGCTACCTATGCTAAAGTGGAAAGCATTGACATTTCTACTACTCCGAACTGATCTGGGCGGTTGTGTAGACGCAACCCTTTTTACATTATTGCTCAACTTCTCTGAAGNTCTGAAGTCCCTGGCGTCCTCCGGATCATATTCATTCCGCTCTGAACCAGCCCGGTGCATTTTTTCACAGATAAACTTGCCGGTTTTTATTTTAGCGGATTTAGACGGTTGATGTTTTTGCACAATTACTGAAAACTTAAACTTGATGCGTTCAGTCAAAGCAGATCTGTTTGATCATCTTTCATTCAGTGAATGTATGTGAATTGACCTGTGAGTTGTGGTCATCCATTGCCATCTGACACAGATTAACCGAATGCAAGGGCAAATCAATGGCAGCTGAATTTTTTCTCAATGATGTGTTTCCAGTCAGTAAATGAGGAAATGGGGAGAATGTAAAAGGTGCCACATAGGGCAATCACTCTTATGGCCATGATAACGGCAAAGTTTCAACTCTGTCCTAACTGATATGCCACAATACCTAATGATCTGTTCGTGCCATACCTGGTGATTCACTATGTAGGCTGGAAGCGCACATTTATACACCCTTAAGATGAGAAATAAGTAAATACTCTTTTCTTTTTCCCATAACTTCCTTTTAATGAACGGATAACGCTA